ATTCGCGCGCGCAAGACGAAATCCTTCCAAAACCTTAGTGTTCGCAGCGATTTTAACATAAAAACATCAAAAAAACCAATGGTTTTTCAACAACAAATGTCAAAATCTCATCCCGCGCGCTCTTGCGGATTCGTAGGAAACCCAACACTTTTTAAACATTTCTGTCAAACGGGCTTTTGCGAGCAACTTTTTCGAACTTCTGCGACAACGGTTGCGCACCTGCCAGGGCCATCATCCCTGTCAAATAATACCATGCGGGACACATTCGTTTTTTCTTCGCGCGCGCACGCCGTCGTCGTCGGCCGCGGGGCCCTGAATAGTAGCCACGGTCGTCCGCATGCCACGAAGTGAAGTGTCCGAACGTCATAGGGCGGGAAGCTGGGTGTGGGTGGTGGCGAAGAGTCGTTTGGAAATTTGGTAGAGCTTGAACCGGCCCCCCCACAAAGTGGGGGTATTGCCCGCCTCCTATGAAAACCCTGGCACTGGTGAGAACGGAGTGTCCCCACGTGCTAGTAATTGTTGTTGCTGTTGTTGTTGTTGTTGTTGTTGTTGTTGTTGTCAGGTTTTGTTATCCTCTGGAGCGTAACAGTCGTTATCTGGGTCAGGCCCCTCTCCCACCCCAGGTAAGGGTAAAGGTCGTGCGCAGGGGGGGGGGCCTGCCACATGCGGGTGTTCGCGCGTACACCGTGGCGATCGCACCGCGCCGTCGCCCCGACGTGCCCCACCTTGCTTTCCCTGGGTAGCAATCGTTCCTGGAAATACCATTCTGCGACGCGGAAATGGCAAAATGTGAATTTCAGGACCTTGTCACGGCTGGTTCACGAACTCTGTCTATAAGTATCTCGTAGGCGACAGGTGCGGCAACGATCTCGACGACGACTTCGTCTGACTGGGGGCGCGGGGTGGCAGGCCAGTGAGTGAGTGAGGCCGCGAAAGTCCATAAAGAACCTTGCCAAACAGAAAGTGGCAAACCGATTGAGACATCCCCACAGTCTCGGCGCGGCCACGAAGTGTTCTCACCCTTAGCGGCTTTGCCTTGGAGTGCCCAAGTGCCACGCTTTGCGCGTTGGACTACAAAAGAAGAGAAGGCTGGGGGGCAGAAACACGCAAACCGCCTGAGACGTTCCCGCAATGTGGGCGCGAATCCTAGACAGTCCCCGCCACTGGCGGCTCCCCCTTGGGATGCCCAAGTGCCACGCCGGCACTATTGCGGTAATCACACGTGTGCGAGCCCATTGTGCGACTGAATCTGAACGCATAATATCAGAGTCTGAGCGAGTCGGAGTGTTGGTGGATCCGGGTATGACTGAATCGGAGTGGGAGCGAGTATGGAGAAAACCCGTCTGGATTCGAGTGAATCTGAGTATGGGTGAGATCGAATGCGAGCGAGTCTACGTTCGAGTGCATGTGAGTGTGAGTGAGTGGAAGCGTGGTCGAGTTTGAGTTCGACTGTAATGGGTACAAATCTGAGTACGAGTGAGCTTGGGTGCGAGGTAGTCGGAATATGAGTGAATCTGAGGGTGGGTGAGTATGAGTGTGAAACTGTCAAAGCATGAGCTGGTCTTGGTCGGGGTCAGTCTGAGCTTGTGTGTGTGAATACAAGCGAACAGTTTTGATTAGGCTTGGGCATGATGTATATGAGTATGAGTGAGAATGAACGGGACGAGCGAGTCTGAGCGACGAAGAGGTGCGGAGAGTAACCCCGAACGCGAACGAATGCGTTTTGAGTGTGGACGCGGGGAAGCAGGCCAGTGGGTGAGTAAGGACCACACAAGTCCATACATGACAACTGGCACATCGCTTCCACAATCAGGGCGCGACCCTTAAGTGTCCCTGCCTTTGGCTGCTTTGCCTTGGAGTGCCCAAGTGCCACGCGGTGCGCATTGGACCGCAAAGGAAGAGAAAACGGAGGGGCAAAAGCAGGAAAACCGCCTGCGACGTTCCCGCAATGTGGGCGCGAATCTTGGACAATCCCCACCCTTGGCGCCTCCCCATTAGGGTGCCCAAGTGCCACGCTTCCTACATCGCGGTCAGCATTGGACCACTCACAAATGAAATCTGTGGGGCGGACGGAGGCAAACCTTTTGCGACAGTCCCGCAATCTGGGCGCGAATGCTGGCGTGTCCCCACCCGTGGCGGCTCCACCTTGGGAAGACCAAACTCCACGCGGGCAAATCGCGGTGCGCATTGGACCACCAAAAAAGAAAACTCAGAAAAAGGGTGTGAAAATTGTTAAACCGTCAGAACAATCCTGATAATTTGGGTGCGAATCCTGAAATGCGAGACCTTGCCAGTCCCCACACTTGGCGGCTCCCGCTTGGGGTGCCCAAGCGCCACGCGTGCAATATCGCGGTTGCCAGTGGACCACCAAAAAAGTCTGAGTGGATCTGAGTGAAGTCGTGTGTGTCGGAGGGAGAGACTCTGAATGTCCATGAGTGGGAGTGCGTCTGAGGCTAATTCCTTGAGTGGGTCTGACTGACTCTGTGTCACAGTAAGGCTG